ATATATATATATATATATATATATATATATATATATACATATACATATATACACACATGTATATGTATATATGCATATGCATATGCATATATACATACATATATTTATATATATAATTTATATATATCTATATTGTGTGTGTGTGTGTGTATGTATGTTCATACACGTGCATACATGCATACATGGAAAGGCACTCTGGCTTTTTATAATATTTGCATATTTGCAAGCATTCGCACACAGTCTTCATCATTTCTCTTCGCAAACACAGATGAAATGTCGGTAAACAAGCAGCCACATTAACCGGCACACAGACACACGTACACATAAACCCAAATGCATACGCACATATCCTTGCAAGCATCTAACCTACACCATATTCATCGAGAAAAGTTGCCATCTCGCCAAAAAATTCAGGTAAGAAGGAAGAATTTTTAGTCACAAGGAGGAATTGGAAAGTGAAATTTTGACCAAGTCGAAGGAGAGAAAAGTGTGCTTCCAATTCGATTCAAAGAAAGAAAAATGTCCTTTTATTCAGGAAATGTTTTTTGAAAGCTTGAACATATCATGGAAGCAGCCAGCATACGGTTGTGAAAATAGAGAATTTGTTTATTTATCTATTCATTAAATTGTTTATTGAAAGCATAAGCACATCAGTGGAGACGACGACTGTATGTGCTAAAAAAGAAAAGAAAAGAAAAGAAAAAAAAAACGAGAAGAATATTGAGACAAAATACACGTAAAATTTCAGATTTGGGTGATTTATTTTCGCCGAGGGAAATGTCCTTCATAATCACAGGAAGCGAAATTAATGAAATCCAAGTTTACACACGCTATAAAAAGGCCATTTTCCCATATGTTCACACGCAATATGCCCGCTATCCTCTTAGGTTAACCGATTTTCTCGCAGTCTGTTTAGTACTGTTAAAAGCAGGGGATCTCGTGACGTAATCAGGACATACCTTTTAAAGACATCCACACATGCACGCACGCATTCTTACACTCTGTCAATTCAAAATTCATTTCTTCCGAACTGTTCATTGGAAGACCGCGAGACAGTGTCACTAAGACGCGGTAGGTATGTCCCTGACTCTTGATAAGTTTCAATAAAGCGACTATGTTTCCTTTCTTTTCCCTTCTGTTCTTTAACGAACACTAATTTGAATTCAATAAAAAATGGAGGACTGTTGCCCGTAAGGGGATCGAACCCTTAACACCGCGTCTTGTTAACACGGCGCTCTAACCAACTGAGCCAACAGGCAAAGAATTACAATTTCTTATGGATAGAGTGTACTGAATGATCAACACATTCTAAAAATTAGCTGAAGGTTCTAATTTATTATCATACGCCTTATTTTCACCTATTGATATACGGAGTCAAAATCAGAGAGGTTCAAACTGGTAGACATTATATTCAGGCCTTCGATCTTAGTCCATGTGAAAGGAAAATCATAAATGTTCCTATTGTATGGGCAATCAGGAGAGCTGACGAATTGTAGATTCATCCAATACTTGATTTGTTGTTGTCGAACGTAAATCAGATCAATGAGGAAAATTCCCGACAGAAGGACAAATGGACAAATTCTAACGTTCTTTCCCCATCATAGTGTCATCTGGTGCGATACAGTTAACGCACGAATCCAGGGGTTCATTTTGAGCTCAGGGGGACCAGGGCATGTCGAGCTCGAGGGCCTCTCAGGATGATAGGAAAAGATTATATGGCAAATCATTATAGTAACTAAAATGTAGGATGGATCACATTTCCTAAAATAAATAGATGAATTGATGAAAGAAAATAAAAGGAAAGCTTCCAATTTCTTTTCCATTTTCCTAAAACTTTTTGACAGGAAGAATAACTACGATTTTCAGTTTAAAACATAGACCATAGTTCAAAGGTATATTGCGATAATTAAACAGGTGTTAATAAACACCTTTTACTTTACCTTCATATTTTGCATCATCATTGCATTATCAATCCATTCATGATTTTGATTTTGTGAAAGAACACAGTTTACTTTTTAATATTTGTACATATTATCAATTATTAACTTATTCGATTGGAGCCTAGTACTGATGGTGTGATTATTGTA